ATCAGAGATTTATGAACATGTTTCAAACTCCAAAACAAAATAGTTGTTATGAGATATTTTGAAATGGGAAATGAAAAGGAAATGTGAAATGTCTGTAGTGTTGAAGGAATTGAATAACTTTGGAAAAAGTACTTATGTAAATATTTTTTGGTTATAAACTATCATATTATTTATATGGTATGAGACTAAGCATTCATGATCATAGCTATTTATAAGTTGTTATTGTTTACGATCATGTTGAAATCCCTACCGGACTTTATGTTTATCCCACATAGCTAATCCTTTTTCAAGTGAACGTCGAGAAGTGTTTCGAGGTCATGGATCTTCTTTACCTGTTGGCCACGGGGCCTTTTATTTGTGGGCGGAATGCCATTGATGTAATAGGGTTAAACCCTTTTCTCTTAATTTAAAAGATGTAAGCCTACGACAATTTATTTAATTATAAATCCTGTTGCATTCATATTGTATTCAGATGAGAGAATCTTTATTCATGTGTTCTTGTAAATATAAAGAGTTTCTGTATGTTATCTCTGAAATTGAATCTATAATAATGGTTTGGTAATGGAATCCGAGTAATAAAAAGCGGGGCGTTACAACTTGGTATTAGAGCGTGCTGAGTTTGAATACTTTGAGTTCGTGGGAAGTGATTTTTACCACAATGGGTTTGCCACAAGTGGTGAGGACGTTGCATATAGTTAGCATAATTGTTAGGACTTATATGTTGCATTTAAGTGAGCATGGGATTCAGTTTCTTGGATAATACTTGTAGCTGGTAAACTTGTTTTGAGGTCATATTAGAAACATGCCTGATCAACGTGGTTTTTGATAGGAATTACTTAAACGTTCCGCGATGAGTGGCTATCTTTGTGGACTTGATTCGATTATGTATTTAGGTGTTTAGTTGTTTATATATAATAGAAATTTGTGTTTCGGGGCTAAGTGTGCCTTGTAACTTAAGGGTGGTGAGTGTGTGCCTCGGGGAAGGCTGTTGTGTTGTGCACTAAGTTTGATTTTGTTTTTGGGTTTTATAGGATGTTTGTACGAGGGAATAGAGGACGGATGGGTAGTAGGAGTGCCGATAGAGGCACAATGGTTCCTTTAGCACCGCCGATGTAGCATCGGCTGTCGGCAAGGAAGTTGCACGCGAGATTGTGAGAGCGGTGCAAGATGCTCTAGCTCACAATAAGGGTGACAACAGGCATACCCTCAAGCGTACTAAGGAGTTTCTTCGCTCCAATCCACCAGAGTTTTTGGGAGAGGCTAAACCATTGGAGGCTGATGGTTGGTTGGAACAGATTCCAAGACTCTTGATATGCTTAGAGTCGTGGACGAGAGGTTGAGGATTTCTTTGGCGACTTTCCAATTGAAAGGAGATGCGGGTTATTGGTGGAAGTATGCTAAGAACATTGTAGGTAATACGTGGGTTGCTTTTACGGAGGCCTTTTTGGCCAAGTACTTCCCTCTTTCTGCTCGAGAAAGGTTGAGGGAGCAGTTTGTTGAGTTGTGTTAGGATGCTACTCCTTTGGCACAGTCTAAGATGCAGTTTACTAGTTTGTCCAGGTTTGCTCCAGAGTTGGTGGCAACGGAGGAGCATCGTTGTTATGAGTTTTAGAGGCGGTTGTGTAATGATATCTGGGAGAAAGTTGCCGGATCCCTATGGAAGAATTACTATGCTCTAGTTAAGGTAGCGGCCCATGTAGAGGCTATGGTTATGAGTGTTGGTTGGATCGGAGAGGAGACCACCTTGGCAACTCCTACGGTTCATAAGCACTCTAGGCTCAGTAAGAGGTGGAGGCGAGCACATGCTCAGTCCCAGGCTCAATCCTTATCTTCGTCAATGGTTTCGAACTCTTCCATTGGGAGGTCTAGGGATGTTCAGGCTTCAAGCCAGTCTTAGAGTAGGGAGTCTGTTGTTTGTTTTGATTGTGGTCAGCTGGGCCATGCTGGACATTTATGCCCTTTGCGTGTGAATTCTTCTGGTGTTTCAGAACCTAGTTAGACTCAGTCTCATCAGTCTAGTCAAGGGAGGCATCGGTATAAAAAATGGGCAGGCTAGGCTTCGAGAGCCTCGCAAGGGTCGACTTGTCAACTAACACAGTAGTATTACCCTAGAGAGGGGCTTTTGTATTGGAGGCCGGTGATTTAATATGTGAATTTTTTGTTGTTGACTAGTGAACTGTTGGATGCTAAGACATCATGATTATGTGTTATATATATATATATTTGTAGACAACCCATTTTTGACCGTCCCCAAGACATCGACGTCATCGTTCGTGCACTCGATGATTGTGGCTATTTGTGCTCGTTTTAGTGCCTGAAGTCCTCGGCGGAATGCCCTGTTTTGGAGCCTTCAACCCTATCCTTTCTATGACCTGTTTTGGACCAAAACCTTTAAGCTTGCAACTCCTGGTGGCTGTCAGCCACCAAATGAGGCTGCCGGCCACCAATTAAGCCTGCTGGCCATCACTGTATCTTTTTTCAGATATTTTGTTAACAACTGTTCCAGCTGCTGGCACAATTGGTCTCATCTCCATACGCGTGTATGAATGGATTTTTCTCAGCCAAATGCATGTTTATCTATATATATGGGGTCTCCTCCCTTATTTTTGAGGGTTAGAAATTTTAGAACAAAAATCTTTCTCTCTCTCTACATTTCTCTCTCTCTCTCTCTCTCTCTCTCTCTCTCTTGCAAATTTGTGCATATTTGCCTACTTACACTACACTTTTGCATATATTTCCTTAACCAAAGCTGATCATCTTTGAGCTGAGGTTCCTTGAAACCCTCTTGGAGCTCTTGAAGGTGGTCTTAGCTTGATTTAGTACCTAGAATTTTTCTTTGCTTCAACAGGTATAATACTTGTTTTCTAAGCTTGCTTTGTATACTTGTTTTTCTATCCCTTTCCACAGTTTTTGGGCTATTCTTGGGCCATAAAAACTCTGTTTTTGTGGGCTGAAATTGGTGTTTTAGGCCATTTAAGGTTAGGGGGGTATCTCACCCTTCTTTATTCCTTGCTTTTAAGGCTTTTTCACCTTTGTTTCCCATTTTCAAACTATCTTTTCTTGGGCTTTTAGCACTAAATTTCAGAGTATTTTTAGTGAGAAAAATCATGTTTTGAAGTCCAAAATTGGCAGGGTTAGCCTCCCCTCCTTGTGTCTTGTTTACTAGCCTAGTTAGCTCCATGTGTTAGCTTATTTTTTTAGCCTTTTGTAGCTTAATTCCATCATGTTTAGGCTCTATTTTAGACTCTATTAACTTTGTTTTTGGTTGTTTATTGCATTTGAGTCTTGTTTTGCATGCCTCTAGTGTAATAGTCCTCACAAGCTAGGTGTTTTAGGTCTTTAGGCACCACTTGTTTGAGTTGATTGCATGTTTTAGTGCTTTTCTCATTTCATTACAGCACTTATAATCTCTACAATCTCCGTTATTTCTTCACTCTTTATTTGCTTGTTTCAACCTTAGGATAGTTTAAGCTTGAGATTGAGGTTCATTACTTAATGGTTTAATCTTCTTTTGGGAGTTCATTACCAACGACATGAAATCTCTCTCTTGCCTTAAACTACCCCTTGTTTGACACTTCCTTCCCTTTAGAGAACTTCTCACCAATGGACTTAATTGGTTAAAGAATGGTTGGTAAGTTAAATTGGCTAAACAAAATGGAAACTAAAATTGTGCAAGATAAGATTTGGTTGTGTTTTGATGTGTTCAATCGGACGTTAATTGAACACAAGGAAAATTGGGGCATTTCATACTCAAAGTGATGAAATGTGCCAAGTTTCCAAGGTCTCCATTGCCCTTGATCATGCATGATAGGGTGACGGTCTTTTTGGTAAATTGAGCACTCCCTATGTTTCTCCATAACCCTTCACCAATTGTGTAAATCTTAGGTTGCGTTTGGTAGAGCTTTCTAAATATGATTTGAGAGTAAGAGTTATATTTTAAGTTTGTGAGTTTTGGAATTTTGATTTGAGTGTGGAAAATTTGTTTGGTGAAAGAGTTTTGAAAAGAGTTTTGAATTGAGTGGGGAATTTTTGATGTGACATACGATATTTGATACAAAAGCTTACAACTCATAACCAAACATACAACTCAAAATTCTATTAAAGCACATAAATTTTTTAAAAAAATTCTAAAAATATTTTTTTCGAATACATAAAAATTAACATATGTCAATTGCACAAAAAAAAAAATTAAGAATTTGCATTGTTCCAGTCAACCAGTAGGTCAACCGGCCGGACGTTTGGTGGCACTACAAGAAATTGCACTTTTGGCAACTACTTTTGGCGACGACGTCAATTTTTCATAGCCAAAAGTATATTTTTGGCGACACAGTGATGAATTTCGTTGGTAAAGGTAGACTTTTACCGACGCAATTTACTATCGTCGTTAAAAAAGCATAACATTCTTTAAGCGCCAAAATTATTTGTTGGGGCCAAAATTTCAAAAGTTTTAGCTACAAGGCTTATTTTTTACCAACGGAATGAGCGTTGCTATTAGTGTGCTTACTTTTGGCGACGACAAGTTGGTGTGGGCAAAGAGTTAAACATTTAGCAACGATAACACTATTCGTCGGTAAAAGTTTTACTAGGGAAACATGTGATTTATTGATTTGTGTTTTTATTACAACTTTTAAAAGAGTTTTAAATATTCTAGTTATTGAATTGTAAAATCAAAGTGATCATTGAATTAGATCACAAAATAAACCCATCAAGGCCAAACATACTCTTTAAGTTGAGATGGCTGATTTGACTTAATTTAAACTTTTTTAAAGAATGTGATTAGATTACCAATTTCAATATATTTGGTTTTATTTTCAAATCTTTTCATTGTGATTTTATGTTTGGTTTTATTTTCATAAATTTAGTTTAATTTTTTTTTCCTAAAAGATTATAAAAAAAAAAAAATTGGGTGAAAAAATAAAAAATATCCTTATTATTTTTATATAATTTTATCTTTTAGGTCATACACTACAATAAAATTGATTTTTTACCAAACCACATGGACGACCTACAAGACACTGATAGTGGGTTCTCATCGTAAGTAACATAGAAGAAACAGGGGGAGAAGAAAGAAAGTGAATTGGTTGGAAGGGGAAAGGGTTCTTCAAACCCTTGTTCTTCAAAGTTATACTATCAATTGAATCGGTGGAGATTGAGAGGCAAACACGGTAGTCCCGAAGCCCTTTGGACGTTCTTCAAAGCCATACGCTGTGTCGACCTACAGAAAACAGAGAGAGGATCTTGCTGTGAGAGGCAAATGGTACTCTCATCTTTTCGGCGGCAAGACTAATTCGACGGTAAGGCACTCATCTCATCTCTTCTCTCTTCTCTTCCTTGTTCCTAAAACCCTTGTTTCGGCTCTCTCTCGCTCTCACTATCGCATTCGATGTAGTTGGCGGTGTGATTGGAGTGGCTGTGGGTAATTTCACTGTACCTAAAACCCTAATCCTACAAAGAAAGAGAAAAGAATTTGAAGAACAATCAGAAAATCTGAAGGTATTCCTCTCTCAATTGATTATTTTTGAAACCCTCCCTCTCCTGAAACCCTATTTTCTCTCTCTGAAATCGTCCCTCTTGTAAAATCCTCTTCTCTCTAATTTTCTCTCTCTTTTCTCTGTGTAGGGTTCTCTCAGAATTCTGATTCCAATATTTCTTGGCTCTTACAGATTTGGTATTTTTACATTTGAAATGAGGCTTGCTAAAATTTTATTTTATTTTATTTTGTTTTTTCATATATTTCAGTTGACAAGTAATGAAATAATCGATGAATATTCTCAGGCATTGGGCTTTTTACATTGATTAGTGTAGTATTTTGGAGCCATACTTTTGCTTCTAGGGTGTAAAAAATGTCATATTGTTTTAGCATTAGATTTATAGATCTAATTATGTTTTTTGAATTTTGATGATGTTTGTAAAAATGCATTAAATTGTTAGCAATTTAAACAAAAGTATTTTGGAACTATATTTTCATTGTGAAAACTCGTGATTGATTTAATTCATTGGCGCCGCGGTTTGTTTTCGATGAAAATAGCAACAGAAACAAAAAACCAAAATTTGAAATTTTTTTCAGTCTTCGTCCTGTCATGATAATGCAATTATTTTGGTTGAATTAAGGCGAAAGCTATATTCTTGTATTACATTTT